ATGAAACCTCTTTAATATGAATATTTTCAATACATTCAAATATAGTTTTGACATTTTTGTGATTTCTAAATCCAAAAATGTCAGGTGGGTTATTCTCATGAACTGATGCAATTAGATGTCCAAGCCCAATGTATGGGGAGGAAAAAAATTAGTGTTTTATGATTGGTTCGCCTGTGAACACTTTTTCATGGGCCGTGCAAGGATTAGAGGCTACACTGAAAATCTCATTACTGTAACATGCCATGACTCTGTAACTCCAATGAATAAGTGTAACTTTTTAAAATAAAAAAATGTTTATGAAAATGACATTTTAATTATACCACAATACTGAGAATTTTGTATAATAAAACTAAGTTTTGCAAAATTTGTTTTCCTGAGGTCATGTTTCTCATTACCGTAACTTCAAAAAAACTGCATTAATACTATCAAGTTTTTTTTTCCACCCATAATGCATCACAAAGAAGGGAAGATTAAAGATGGACACAAGGTGAGACTTTCTCTCATTATGTCAAAATTTTAAGGATGTTTTACAGATTGAATCTCCAGGAGTTCACACTTTTTGAAAAACGTTATTCAACAAGTGAAATGTTTTGTTAATGTAAGGTCATCACAATTGTCACCAGTATTAGCATCATTAACTTATTTCTCATTACTGTGTAATTTCTTTGTCGCAGTGCTGAATTTTGCAATTGTGCCAAAGATTTCATGCATTCTTAACTCATTTATAAGCAACTAAATATGACCTGTAATAATGATAAATAACATTAATGGTACTCCAAAAATACAGTGTATAACTAAAGCATTACTCACTGAGGAGAGGTTTTTTATATAACTAAAGCATTACTCACTGAGGAGAGGTTTTTTTATTGTAGCCTATTTATTTTTCTTTTGAGGTATATGCTACTCAGAATGCAAATGCTAATTTAGGGACAGAGGTAATTTTATGTGTCTTTTAAATAGTGCTTTGTTTGCATGGTCCATGTAATATTGTGTATCCTTTTAAAGATCAACAGATAAGGAGAGAATGAAATCTTCAGTGAGTGCTAGGGTAAAGAAGCACAGAGAGAAAATATACAGTGACCCGGAGCTTCTAGAGGAGCACCGGAGAAAGGAGAGAGAAAGGTACTACAGGAACTTAGATTGGAACTTTAACATTTTGGTAAATGGATTGAGGTTAGAGTGTATTGATAGCTAAAGTTTTGACAACCAGTGTGACAATTTAAGAATGATTATCATTATAGGGACATAAAGTTTAAGCCTCAATCTACATTCCATTGAAACTGTAATGTTTAGAGAAAATGTAACATTATATTCAGGTGTAGTATTTCCCACCGCAGTTAATTTTGACATTAATGGCATGACAGGGAGTAAACAATGAGAATGTCTTAGGTGATATATATATCTCGCTGATTATTGTTTTTAATTTGCTTTGCCATAGATATAAACAGCGAAAGGAAAGGGGTCTTCTGAAAACAGCTGCACAGCTGACTCCTACACAACATGAAATGCAAAAGAAAAGGTGGAGAGAAAATACAGCAAAATATGCAGAACGGAAGAAAATACAGCAAGCATTACTCAATCTTACCCCTCCAATTGCCTTTGTAGAAATTGACATATAACCACTGCAACAAATACCCCCTACCTCAGCACCCATATATTTTGATACCTGAACAATTGTGTTCATGCCATATTCATTCTTTTGGGATACACAGAGAGATGTTTACAGATACACTCATGTCTTTGGGTGCTTTTCCACTGCATCCGGTACCCTACTTTCGGAAAATTTTTCCACTGGCATAAAAACTGGCACCGCTGCTGAATGACATCACAACGTGATGCGGGGTATTTTGTTCTGAATTAGAAAAATGTCTATAGTATATTATAGATCTGGGTGACATGCGATATAAATGCCAACATTGCATGTTATGCAAATGCATTTCTTACATCACAAGAACCGCAAAAGCTAGATTTACATCAGGCCTTTTCATACCTTCATATGGACATTTTAGTCTGGGAGGGGGTTACAATTTTTGTGAAAACATTTTTACTTCTAGGGGAAAAAAAAACTTAGCAAGCTTTGCTATTTCAATGATTATTCCTTTTTAAGATTATCAAGCATATGTTTAAAAGTATCAGTTGAAAGTTTACCTCCGCTGCTTTTGCAGTGCTTCATGCGTTCTCCGAGATAATCATTTTCATCCTTTCTGTTTAAATCACTCCTAGACAGGTTTGATGGAAATGTATTTATTTTGAACTCCTTTTTTGTTTTATAAATATCACAATATTTATTACAACAAAATCACATTGCAATATTTGAAAATATTCTAATATCACACAGCCCTAGTATATTATCCAGAATTTCTTGTCATTCCATCCTGATCTTGTATCTGTTCTTCTGACCAGATTACAGTTAAAGCTTGGATCCCCCCATTTTTCCATGCATCCACTATTATTACTTGAATAACTATTATAACCTTAACAATTATTACTTTAATTGTTGTTTTCTGAGTTTGTGCTATTTGCATAACCAACAAGAAAATGTTTGCAAGTCACACCCTGAAGTATCGAAGTACCAAAAAAGTTTCCTAGTTTAGGGACTGGGATTTTTGGTACTAGTACTTGAACGGATGTTAATGGAAAAGAGAAAGCACCATACCAAAAGTGCGGCACCCGGTGCAGTGGAAAAGCTCCCTATGTAAACCTGTACTGGTTTATATTATATTTTATGTTATGAAATACCCTGCTGCAGTGCTCATTACCATTACTGTATGAATCTACTTTATAAACTCAAGTTATACAGCTTGTTGTCTAAATCTGGGGTGGTAAAATGGTTTTATTAAATTACCTTTTTTTTCTGTAATAATCAGAAGAATTTTGTCAAATCCAGGGCAAGAGTTACGGTAATAAGAAAAAAAAGTAACAAAAATTGAACAAGATGTATATCTTATCATGCAAATTTATTATTGGGGGTCACATGCAATTAAATTGGAGGATTTAACTTTAGTTTTGTGTTTTATGTCATCTTAAAACTGTTACAGTAATGAGATGTAATAAATGGTTCAAAAATAATTCAGACCAACAAATGTTGTATACAAAAACAAGCTCCATATTTCATTATAACATTTTAAAAAGTTCATGAGAAGAACTCAAAAATTTTGATTTTAAAAATGTATGTGTAAACTCTATCAAGGACATAACTATTTGTACATATCCAAGCGGATGCCTGTTTAAATTGAAATGAGCTTGAGAAATCAGGTGGCACATCTGCAGTTAATATTGCTACTTTAAGTTTTTAATCCTATAAAGCAAGTTGTATCATATTTGATACTTGGTATTCTTAGATTATTAAATTAAATTATTATTAAAAAATAATAATAAAAGCAGTTGTATAGCATAGTTGTTTTTGTTTTTTGCCCTCTGGTGGATTATCCATGTACTACATGCTGTAGAGATTGGATAAATACTAAGTCTTTCTGGAAGTCATAAATGCTTGTCTCTAATTTGCCAATTCTGAAAAACTCCATTTCATACATATTGACAGTTAATTGATAACACAAATTAATCCATAAGTAAGTTGTAAAGTGTGATTTAGGCAGTGCACCGTGGGACAAAGCAAATGTATCACCGCTGAATTGCTTGATTATGTGTTTCGTAATCGGTGTGCATCGTTGTCTGTGTACTGGACAACACGATTCTGTCATTAAAAACGCCCCACCTTAATTCCGTGAAAAGTTATTAAAGCTAGAAACTTGTTTCGAGATACTAAGTCAAAATTTCGACTTAATATTAATATATGAATATCTTAATATATTATTTTTTTCCCCGGTGGTGGAAACGGGCTTCCATAGTATGGTATGTTGAACAGGTCATAAAATTATCTACACATTATAGCTTCCATGTTTTTAGATTGCAGAAAAGTACAGTTTTGAAGAATTTGTTGTGCATGATTAAGGGACATGGAGCAGTTGGGGGAGAATGGGCATGATGATGATGATGATGATAATGAGGAGGAGGAGGAATGGACAAAGCTTACTCAGGAAAGCTCAGATAGTAGTGATGAGGAAAACTTACAAGGTGGCACTTCTATAACAATGGCCATAAAAGGAGAGGTCGATTATAGCAGACCTCTGAAGCATGAACACCACCCTCTAGTGTGCTGCTGATGAGATGAAGGATGGCACTGACCATTTTTCTATATGGGAATCCCAGCACAGGTGGGGTACTGCACATGCAATCACTTCTCACATGTGTACTGTGGCAAATGCACATCTTTGTCTGAAGGGCAGAAACTGTTTTCTTGCCTACCACAATGCAAAATAAGATTTTTTTGCTATACGAATGCATGGTAATCTGACAACCCTGGTGTTGCCAGATGGCAACATATTTACTTCTTTATTCTGAAATAAAGTTGAATAATTTGAATTAAAGGGGTAGGCCTTCAGGTAGCCAATTATGTGGTCACTCTCGTGAGACACATGGCAGTGTGCTGCACTAAACGCATTTCTGTGCGTTACATGAGGATTTTTTTTCCCCAGATGTTAACTTTGTTGTCTTTTCTGCTGCATATTTTATAATTCATTTGAAAAAAATATTGTTTTTTCTGCTGCGTCAAAATTGTAACGAACTGAACTCATAATTGCGGTTCATACTGAAACGTGATTTTTTTGTACTGTCACACCCCTAATTATTACATAACATAAATATGATTTATATTTCTTCTGTTCATTAAAATGAATAGAGTTATGTTTTGTGTAAAGGACAAGGGTGGAATTAGCTTTTCCATGTGATGACTGTGAGAATGAGATGGTCTTCTGGGACAGTGACAGTGACATGGATATGAATGGGAGCAGTAAGGGAGAGTCTTCAATGTCAGACTCCGAGGCAGAAATGACCAGTGCAGCCTTATCTACTGTGAGTGTGGGTGTGACAGATTTAGACTGAGATTCAGTTTGAATGTTGACTGCAGATAAGGTTAGTATTTACCCTTATAGTTATCATGCATAGTTTTACTGCATGAGGATATGCCCAAAGAAATGGTAAATTGTCATTTTCAGTACTCCTTGTATCTTTTAAGGACAATATTGAAGGATAAATTGTAAGGACTCACAAATTTTAGGTTTGTAGGAATTCTGCACAGCAACTTAGAGTTAGCGGAGAAGCCATGCTGCCGTGTTGGCGATACATGCGAGTTGTGGTAGAGTAGTGGTTCCTTAGAGGAAAAGTGTCGTTGAAGAAAGTGTCAGCTGCAGCATATTTTTAAACATGGGAACATGGGTGGTACTTTGGCTGTTTTGACATGCAAACAACTGGTGTTCTGTACTAAAAACTATGACAAAAACTAGTGCGAAATAAAACTGTAAATACTGCAAAACGTATCTCACCACCTGACGCATTACCATCCAGTAGAACATATGGAATGAAATTTCAAATGTCAAAGCTGTCCCCTTCAACAAGCATCAAAGCAGTAAGAGGAAATGCCCAGCAGTAACCGATACTGTCGGCTTTCTATAGTGTTTCATCTTACGACAAAAGAAAAAGGCGCAGAGACATCGTGATGTTACTTTCTTTACAGCAAAAAACAGGAAGCCACCATGAACAAGTGGATTCAAAAATATATGGGTCATTTCAGACTTGTTACATTTCCGGTTCACTGGACTAAACCTTTTTTTTTTTGGTAGTTAAAAAATATAATTTAGGGCAGGGCTTCGCAACCTTTTTCATGTGATGGCCCACTTTCACAATTCAAAAAGCAGCTGTGACCCACAGTAAATGTCACCACACACACACACACTCTGAAGTTTCATTGCATGTTACTAGTAGTACATGCAACCAAATGCCAGTCAGCAAGCATATCAAATTTGAATACAAATATCAACCTTCTTTGCATATTTGCAGTGCTGTGGTGAAAGTACTGCTTTGTTTTTTCATAAAGATGCTCACTCACCTAATGAGAGGGCTGATGTTGTAATCCAAATGCTAAATGCTCACTGCTGTGCAGTAACCATTCACATTTGCAAATTTGACATTCATGGTTTTAGTTATTCGCAAGCTGGCCGTAAACATTTACGCAGAAATATTTTCAAGAAAGGAAATGACAAAACAATTTGACCTGCAAAAATCTTCAGTACAGTACTCTTTGTTTGTTAGTAAATATGCAGTTTTTCTTATTGCTCAGGCTAGCAGACTTATAGGTTGAGCTTTGGGGTGCACAAGTATTATTTGTTCATTTATTTTTTTATTTGTGATTATTGACACACCACAGCACACAACAACGAAATGTGTCCTCTACATTTAACCTATATGTGACTTTCGTGACATAGCAGGGGACAGCTAATTCAGTGCCCGGGGAGCAGTGCTTGGGGGTGGTACCTTGCTCAGGGTACCTCAGTGGTGTCTTCCTGGTCGGGGATTTGAACCTGCAATCTTCCGATTACGAGTGCGCTTCCCTAACCATTAAGCCACCACTGCCATCATTTTCACACTCGCGGGGACCTTCTTTCCCTAACCCTCTCAAATGTGCATTTTCTCCTAACCTTTCATTGTAGTCTTAATGTCTCTGCTCTTTATTGGTTTCATCTGTTTTTTTTTTTCAGTTTAAGTGTTCCTGTTGATGCATTTTCTGGTGGATTTATCTTGCTATGAAGCCTCTCACTAATTGTTCTACAAAAGCTGCGCAGCAACATTTTGCGGCCCACTTCCAATAATGTAATGGCGCACTGGTTGGGAAACGCTGATTTAGCGTATTAGTTTTGTGTGACAATACATTAACTTTATTTAAAAATGTTTGAGGTGTATTTCAACCATATTTTATATAAGTAAAAGCTCCCAAATGAATTCCTGACCCCCAATTTGTGACATAACTCAACGGCTATTTAATAAGACCAGATTATTCAGCCACTGATTCTACATGGTAGCTGCTCGCATTTATGGTTCAAAAAATCCAAAGAAATAAAATTATTTAGGCTGTCACTTAACACATGTTCTGTGCAAATTGTTTTGGGTGACAGCGCTGTCAGTGGCTGAAAAGCAGAGCTGACATAGAGCACGGGGAGATGCAGACCCTGTAATAAGGGCAGAAAAAAAAAAAACGAGTCAAACAAAAGGAGGGACAAAGGGAAAATAAGGACAGTAGAAGATCTCAGTGAAAAGGAAAAATGAACCGCAAAACCTGCAAATATTGGAGGGATGCACAGATCTTTGGAGCCCATGGTGACGCCACCACCAAACAGCCCATTCTGCATCCTCTCAGCACCTTGGCTTACTGGAACATTTAAAGTGGACAAACATTTCACAACCATCTCAGCTTCAGAGGAGAAAAGTCTACTAGCTATTTGGACACACTAGTCCCGAGTGCTGGATCATGTTGAAAACCTTCCATCAGTAAATGTGGTTAATTTCTTTACTGATGGACCATGTACCCAGAACCATCAGAAGGGATATTTCTGCCTCTTCAGCACAGTGTTGTTCAAGCAGGACTTCATTAAAGGCACATGTAGCTTCTTTGAAGCTATACTGTATGTGACAAGGGGCGCGTTTCCACTACAGGCACTGAACTTTTGGTACTTAAAGCACCAGAGTGAATGGTACTTCTTGTTTTCTTATGCAAGTTATACACATACAGTTCTCTCATCACAGTGACCTCAGTGGTCAGCTGGATTAAGGTCGGGCTTTTTAATACCTTCATACTGTCCCAACATTATACCACGGTGTGCAGTATTTACAAAAATGTTATTTTGCAGTACAGTTTCAGTATTTTTAAATCTTGGTGATAAAATTTGCTGAAAGCAGGGGTGTTTAAGTTTCACTAAAACATTTTTATTTTATCATAGGGAACAAAACTCAGTAAGCTTTGCAATTTCAATGATTGTTCCTTTTCAATATTACCCGGTATATGTTAAAAGTCAGTTTTTCCACTGCTGCCTTTGCATGAGCTATGCATGCGCTCTCTGAGCCAATCATCATTTTAATTTTTGCAGTTTAAGTCACGCCTAGATGGCTTAGTGAGAAATTTATTTTTAACTGTTTTTGCTTCGTAAATATTGCAATATTTGTCAAAAAAAAAACCACGTGGCGATATTTAATTTTTTTCAATATCGTGCAGACCTATATCATATATCGTATCATATCATATATCATATATCGTATCATATATATCATATCATATAGCAAATACTGTATTTCTTTTCATCCCATCCACATCTTGTTGAATCTGTTCTTCCAACCAGATCAGTTAAAGCTTGGGTGCATTTGTCCATGCATCCATTATTCTTTTTTTTTTCTTTGTTTACTGTTGTTTTCTGAGTTCATAACTACTCAGGATGAGCTGTATTCTGTGTTTTAGAGGTAGGTTATTACCATAATCAATCGACACTTTTGCAAGCCCCACCCTGAAGT